TTTTATCCCGAACAAACCAAAATAAATAGTGATTTAGATTTTTTTTATATTTTAGGAGATAAAAAAAATTAAAACCGAAGCGATATTCATATTAAACTGATTTAATAGCTTTTTATTAAAAAAATAACGAACCTAATAATCATATTCTGCGCAAGACGTGGATTATTACCTAGTTTACTAGTATAGCGACAGTAAGAAGAGCACCAATCAAAAAAATGAATATAGCATATATATGTATGTACCAAGTATTTTTTTTTTCTTTAACACTTGTAATCAATTATTCTTACAATCTGAGCTAAACTGGACAACAATAAAAACTCAAATAAGAAGACACCAGTAGGTATCTATAACTAATCTCAAACAAATGTGAGAGTCATACACTTAAGGCAAGAACAACATAGTTGCTTTTTCACCTCTCTCACGGTGAGTAATCAGCAGCTAATGCCCACGACAAGCCACATGATACATCTTCCTCCTTATTAAAAGTATTTTATTAGAGTATCGTTTCAAACCGTAGATAATTAAAGATTTCACATCAATTTCACACGTTTATAACATCTGCATTGGTGAGTTTTATTTTAATATATTTGTTATTTAACCTGAAAATGCTTAATCGTTATGAAGAATGAAGGCGATGTATTACGTGTAATATATGGAAATTTCGTCATACCGTTGGCCGATGTTGACTTATATAGTGTTGACAACCGAGATAAAGTCCCCCATAATACATTAATAAACATGCATGCGTACAACTATGCATCCTATATTCTACACGATTATCTTACATACCATATGCATATTAAGTTCTACATATTAAAACAGCAAAAAGAATAGAAGATTTTGTTGACTAATCCCCCCCCCACGCATGATGAAGCCAAGGATGCACAAGATGAGACAAAGCATCGTGGAACCAACAGAAGAATTGGTATTAGTTTGAACAATTATAACTAGTGATATATATTCTATGCATCAGGATGGTAAATTGAATCGTTCTAAAAGAAGATGATAACTTGGATTTTTCCACCATGATTTGAGTTATGCTTAGTTACTATAGACGTACATGATCAAAAGTTATTTGATTATTCTACAAACTCCAATGACTAGTGGGTTTTGCGGTCCGATTTCAATACGCATGTCACACATACATTTTATAACCATTTTCTTAATAAATTAACTGCTGACGACAAATGTTAAAATGGTGAGGAAATACATTTACTGTGATTGTACAACTCCAACCACAACGAACGCATTAGATTCGTGAGCTTGTTGGTGTCCACCCTTAGACACATTCCACTTTTAGTAGCCTTTAAACTGAAAAAGCAAGATCTTTAACAAATGCGAAGATGAAAATTATTAGTCCATTGATCTATCTAACGGTAGATAGCTCTTTTGTAAGAAATAGAATGTCCAAGTTTTTAGTTTTGATTGGTTAATATCATTTTATTTTCAAAAATTTATAAGTGGACTGGTATATGCTTTGGAATATACCAGTTTCATTCTCCCTCGACCTTTCTTCCCTATAGACTATAGTACGTGCTTCAATCATTTCAATTTTAATGTTGGCCTAATATTGATTTGGGTGTTCACTAGTTTTGACCTGATGTAATTAGTTTCTCTCATTTGACGGCAAATGTAAGGTGTCATGAAAAGAAAACACACATTAGAGACATCATTATTGTTACACTTATGGTATTTGAATATTAGGTCTTCTAATAAAAAATAACCACGTATGAGTATGACTTGGTGGGTTTATTTAGTAAATGTTATGATATAAAGAAGCCAGAAAATTCAATAAAATGGGACAACAAGCATCTAAACAACTAATCTCTTTGAGTTGATGTGTGATGCGTCGAGTCGATATATGCAACAAGTAGAGTTGTGTATAAAAATTCTGTGCAACAAGTAATGCAAGTATATATTCATCATGTTCTAATCATGATCATATACTATTTTTTAAATATTCAGCTGTAATTTTAAACAATTTGGATGTACTAGTCCTGTTGATAGGGATTTCTCAGATTCAGTATAAACTAATCGGCCATTTGTATGTCAATTTGTCAACTACCAGTTCTAGCATTTGGTAATGATGTATTTACAAACAACTTTTTTATTGGATGCCAGTTAAAATAAATAACTTCAAAAGACTAACAATCTATAATATATATTCGAAAAAATTTCTTCCGAAATTTGTTAATTATATTTGCTTTCTTAGATAGGTTAGTTTCCGGATAAGATCTTTTGCAAGCACATAATAGGTTAATGTAATATCTGAAGGTGTGTCCTTCAACTACATGAATATATTGTTCAAATAACTTGGTAGGAAGTGAATATGTTGTTTATAAAACTTGATAGGAATCATGAAGGTTTATTCTCAATTCCAACAACCAATTTCAAAATATTGAAAGCTTCGAATGACATTTTGTCTCCCTTTCCGTCAATCTGTATTAAAGGTTGGTCCTTCTGCCAAATACGCTGTCTAAGAAAACATGGTAGGGATCACGAAGGTTTATTCTCATTTACAAAATGCCTTTTCATTTTATTAAAGCTTCCAATGACATTTTGTCTCACTTTCTATCAACTTTTTTGGTCTTAAACTCGATTACCTGTGATTAATTTAGGGTAATATGCCAGTCATAATTCCATTTCAATTTAAAAGCATGATAGAAAAAGATAGCTACAAAGAGTAGGAAATGATAAACTAGTGATGGTATAAACAGGAAAACGATATATGCGGCAGAAAGTGCATACTTCTCTCGTTCTTTTTTTTTTGTTTAACTTGCATTATTGATACTTATTTAAATGACTAATTTGTACAAAGCTAACTTTCACTTGTATTTTCATTATATTTAACATGTTCACTCTAGTTTATATTTTTGTTGAATATTGATCGATTCCGGTATATTCTAGCTAGTAAAGGATATCTCATGTATTTTTTGTTTTGTTTTATATGTTACATGATTACAACATTATTTTAAAATCTAATAATACATTGTGTTTTTATTAGCAAATGTAGTTATTTGCAGCATATGAAAACACGATGCATGTCTTCAAAAATAACTTTGCAAAAAACCATTCTAAATCTATCATAATGTGGAAGCCCACTTATTCCAAATGATTTGATTAAAAGTTCGTTGATACTCTATACAAGGAGATATGAGTTTTGATTTCCAAACGAAGTAAAATTATGCAGTTTAATAGAGAAAAAGTTTATAAGAAATATGTAACATGTCACAAGGAATACCAGTTTATCAGCTTGGAGATCTCTGAAGTTTCAAAATAATAATTTGAAAGTCCCTGATAGTTTTTCCTTTCGTCATATAATTTATAGTTCCTGTCAACTGAACTCAGAACTAATGTAAAACACCAACTTTTTTTTTTGTCGACAATCTAAAGTAAAACACCAACTGACAATTCAAAATACAAAATATTAAAATATTTCACTAATAGTTATTAATATTTCAAGAAAAATCAAGGGAAGCCTAATTATAAGAGGCTTTTTTAAATATCAGGCCTAAATTCTTCATTTATGAGTCTGGGGCTTTGGGCCATAATCACTTAGATTTTGTTTTGTATTGGGCTACTTTGCAAGCTAAATGTTTATACTTGAAAAAATATAACTTTTTTTTTGTTTAAAGAAAAATATAACTTTAAATAGGAAAAATCAGACAAAGAAAGTCAAAAAACTTTCAGACGAAAGAAAAAGAATGTGAAAACCTTTTTTTTTTGCCAAATAAGAATGTGAAAAACTTATCATCCCTTAGACGAAAAAACCACAAAAACGAAACTAAATATGATTGTATTCTACTATAATTCACTACGAAATTTAAAAAAAAAAAATCATACTAATAATTCGAAATGTATTCCTAAATCTATTGTAATATAATGAGAAACTGAAATGTAGACACATACACATTATTTATATGGTACACCGACAAAAATCAGAGTAAAAATACTGACTGAGACTTTGATTGTACTCAAGTATGGATCAAAAACCTTTTATAAAATAGAGGATAATTATAACAGTATATCTTCTAAAAATATATATATAGAGAAATTTCCTAAAATAGACCTAAAAAAAAGTTTTATCAAAATAAGTAAATATACATTTATAATTTTTGAGTTAACTAATCCTAGAGTTTTTTTGTTTAGAATTGAGAAATGAAGTTTTGGGGATAGTATTTCAAATTAAAAAAAAATTAAAATTTTCAAAATAAAAAATTATATTTCGGTCATTTTAGTTTTTAAAGTCTATTTTGTGATAAAAACGTAAAAAGTTTTGAGAAATTTGCCCATATATATATTATAGGATAATATCTCTAAAATATTTTACCAAATTAGTTTGGTTCCTAATGCCTAGATTCCAAGTTTTAATCGGAGTGTTTACCTTTTATAAAATAAATTAAATATATATAACATCTAAGTTGCATGAAATTAGAAATAGGTACGTGAAAACGAAATATTTCGAAATGTAGAAACATGATTTAAAAAAAAACTAGAAATAGAAACGTTTTGGAAATGTCTATAATATATATATGTGTATATATATATGTATGATTAATCAACATGTAAGCTTTTTTTATTTGATTTATCTTAGAGAAAAAATTAAGTAATATAAGTACTTTTTTGTACATTTTATTAAAATTTAATCAATAATTAAAAAGTAACACATGTTATCATTCCATATAAAACTATGAAGCGACTTTATTCCAAATCAAATCATTATAGTAAAATGATAACAAATATTAACATTGTGATATGTCTTTTTTTGTTACTAATATGTTTTAAAATTTTAATGACGTGTCAAAATTTGATTGCAGTGATGACTTCAAATCTGTGTAATCCAAGAAATAATATTCATCTCCGTCGTATTAATACACTGCTCTCCGCGAGAAAGCGCCTCCAACGCCGAGCCTAACGTCTTATCTCCGATCGCCGGTTTGCCGATTTGATCGAACTACGAGATCTCGAATAGCAGATCGTCTCCTGCTCAATCTCCAAAGATGGTGAGAACTAAATTCTCTAAATCTATTTCAGTTTCCTCTCCCAGATCTCAAGCGAACTCGTTCGCGATGCGATCTAGATTTCCGCATTTCACCTTCTTGTTATGCGTTAGATCGTTGAATCCGAATTCAACCTATCCGTTTCGTGTTGTTGCTATTGATTGTAGTTCTCATGGAATCGAGTATAGCGTCATTGAATTTTGATTGTTTTTTCGATGAATTTCACTAAGATCTGGTGTTTATGGTTCTGGAAAATCATACTGACTATATATTTCTCTTTTCTTTTTGTTGGAGCAGCCACTCACACTCGATATCAAGGTATGCTATGAGGAACACTATTTCTAACCGTCGTCTCTGTTGTTTTTAACTTTTTTTTTATAATAATGCTTTGCTTTTGTTACGTTTTCATCAGAGAAAATTTGCTCAACGATCAGATAGAGTCAAATCTGTGGATCTGCATCCTACAGAGCCATGGTGTGTAGTTTCAACTTTTTGATCGTTTTATATTTTGGTTATGGAGTCACAGTTTTTTTTTTTTTTTCTCATAAAATGTTAAACAACACGGTTGTTACAGGATTCTAACAAGTTTGTATGCTGGAACCGTGACTATTTGGAACTACCAGACACAGGTTGGTGAATATTTTGAAACGTAAAGTAGAAATTTGATGAGTTTAGAGTACTGTAATTGATCTTTTAGCTAGTGTTATTATTGTAAATTTAATGGAACTCTTTCTGATTTGAATCTAATATGATTGTCCTCTCAGGTGATAGCAAAATCCTTCGAGGTTACTGATGTGCCAGGTAAAACAGTTATTACGAGCTTATTCTAAATTTATGTTCTTTGTTATATTGCCTTGTTTAGTTTGTTACTGTTACTGAGTTTTATATATATGGCGTTGCAGTTAGGTCGGCAAAGTTTATTCCACGCAAGCAATGGGTTGTGGCAGGAGCGGATGATTTACACATCCGTGTATACAATTACAATACAATGGACAAGGTGAAAGTTTTCGAGGCTCATGCGGATTACATTAGGTGTGTAGCTGTCCATCCCACCCTTCCGTATGTGCTGTCATCTTCTGATGATATGCTCATAAAGCTTTGGGACTGGGAAAATGGTTGGGCTTGTACTCAGATCTTTGAGGGACATTCGCATTATGTGATGCAAGTGGTATTTAACCCAAAAGACACCAACACTTTTGCCAGTGCATCGCTTGACCGTTCCATAAAGGTGCGAAAATGGCAGTCGCTTTGATTTATGGCCTTTCAGATGCTGTAAAAAGTGTTTGCTCAGACTATTTTTTCATGCTTGTTCATGTTCAGATATGGAATCTTGGTTCTCCAGACCCAAACTTTACCCTTGATGCTCACCAGAAAGGAGTCAACTGCGTAGATTACTTCACAGGGGGTGATAAGCCCTATTTAATCACTGGCTCTGATGATCATACTGCTAAGGTGTTTTTCTGGTTAAGCTTACTATATGTGTGATTTGTTTCGTCTGACCAATATGTATTTGCAGATAACTTACTAGTTGTGCTTTTGTAATCAGGTATGGGACTATCAAACCAAAACTTGTGTCCAGACGCTAGAAGGGCATACCCACAATGTATCTGCAGTATGTTTCCATCCGGAGCTTCCAATAATACTCACAGCTTCTGAGGATGGCACTGTCCGCATTTGGCACGCCACCACTTACAGGTGTTTTATCTAAAACCTTTCTTCTGTCCATAGACATAACAATGCTGTTTTTCTTTGGGTATTAACACTTAACTACGCCTTGGACACATGAGATTCATTCTTGTATTCATTTTCACAGTAGGTTTGTTTTCTCTTTTTGTCTTTTGATTTACTATTTCTACTTTTATATTTTTTTTCAGGCTAGAGAACACACTGAATTATGCTCTCGATAGAGTTTGGGCCATTGGTTACATAAAAAGTTCGCGCCGGTGAGTTTCTGAATTTTTGCTTCTTCATTTTCCCTTTCTGTAAGTCAATGTTTGTTAGATTTGTTTTCCATGAGTAGATGTTCTCTCTTGGTAGAATCTTTGTTTCTGATTTGTTGTTAGTTCACTTCTGAAATTGACGATTTGGAGAGCTAATGACGCTTAGAATTGCTAGAGCTGTTGAGGGAACAGTGTTATACAAGACCATCAACAAGACAAAAACGAATGTGTTTGCATTTTACAGGGTTGTGATTGGATATGATGAAGGAACCATCATGGTTAAACTTGGACGAGAAATTCCTGTCGCTAGCATGGACAGTAGCGGAAAAATTATATGGGCTAAGCATAATGAAATCCAAACCGCAAACATCAAAAGTCTCGGTGTAGGTTATGAGGTGTANAGACCATCAACAAGACAAAAACGAATGTGTTTGCATTTTACAGGGTTGTGATTGGATATGATGAAGGAACCATCATGGTTAAACTTGGACGAGAAATTCCTGTCGCTAGCATGGACAGTAGCGGAAAAATTATATGGGCTAAGCATAATGAAATCCAAACCGCAAACATCAAAAGTCTCGGTGTAGGTTATGAGGTGTAGCTTCTAACTATAACTAATGTATTATAGCATGCAGAAACCTGTGCGATTAAGCTGTTTATTTGTATTATCTAATGATGTTAAGTTTTCGTCTCTTTGCCTAGGTTACTGACGGAGAAAGACTTCCCTTGGCTGTTAAAGACCTGGGGACATGTGATCTTTATCCACAAGTAAGTTTTACTATACAGCACCATCTGACATTGTTCTGTTGTGCTGAATTATTGTAGGAGATATTGGGGAAACATTTCGGAGCTGTGGGTACTCCTAGGATCATGTTTCAGCTAAAATGATGCTTTAATGGTTCTCTGAAACAATATACATTTGAAATGGAGCGGTTTTAGATGATAGAAATTAAATTATCGTTTCATACAAAATCCCACTAGAGTGTGGTTGCATATAATTATTTCTCGTATCTCACAAATAGCTATTCGGTTTAACTCTCAGAGCTTGAAGCACAATCCTAACGGGAGGTTTGTCGTAGTCTGCGGTGATGGAGAGTACATAATCTACACAGCTTTGGCTTGGAGAAATAGATCTTTCGGTTCTGGACTAGAATTTGTTTGGTCATCGGATGGGGAATGTGCAGTTCGAGAAAGCCCATCAAAGATAAAAATATTCAGTAAAAATTTCCAGGTTTGACTTCACTCCATTTTTGTAAGAGTGCTTCTAGGGTTGAACTTGAAGAAATCGCAGATGCTTGCAATGGAGACATATATTGGTAGGTCTGGTGTTTTAATAAAGGTGGTATTTTCAGGAAAGGAAGAGTATTCGGCCTACTTTCTCAGCTGAGAAGATTTTCGGAGGAACCCTGTTAGCAATGTGTTCAAGCGATTTCATCTGC